GCCCTTCCCACTCCCCTGAATGAGGGGGGTGGGACAGGGGGGAGTCAGGCCTAGAGTTGCAGAGTAGAGAAAAAAGGGTTACGGCTTGTTCACACCATATATTATGCGGTTAGCTGCTGGAACGCACTGTATCGCATAAAAAACTCCCCTGTGCGTGCTGGGGCAGGAAGGGGTGTGGTAGTGCATTGAAGTCAATGGCACCATCGCCACGCCCCCCTGCCCACAGTGGCACATTAGTGCATTGTTGCGGTCCAGTGCGATTGGAAAAAATGGTGCATGCACCAAAACACAGGGGGTAGTTTACTATGCCATACAGTGCGTTCTAGCAGCTAACCACAGTGGTAGCATTATATATAGTGTGCACAAGCCCTTAAAATTGGCCAGAGGAAGAGAGGTGAGATGCTGTGCATCCACACTGCCCACTCTGTGTACCGCCCACTGTCACCCTCTCTGTGCACCCACCCACTGTCACCCTCTCTGTGCACCCACCCACTGTCACCCTCTCTGTGCACCCACCCACTGTCACCCTCTCTGTGCACCCACCCACTGTCACCCTCTCTGTGCACCCACCCACTGTCACCCTCTCTGTGCACCCACCCACATTGCCATCCACTCTGTGCAACCACACTGCCAACAACCCACATTGCCCACCCACATTGCTCATACTGTGCACCCACTTTGTAACCCTACTTTTCCCAGCTTCACTGGTGTAACTGTTTTTTTTGTTGTACTTACAGTGCCAAACCAGAGAAATGAGGAAAAGTGCGTTATATTGCACTGCGTAATCCTTCTGTGGTGTGGCAGTGTAATTATAACTTAAAATAACACTGGCACACCAGTGAAGCTGGGGAAAGTGGGGTTACAAATGATAAACCCCAGTGGTATTTTAAGTTATAATTTTAACCCCCCTTGTGTAATTGTAAATCCCATTTTCCCAGCTTATTTGGTGGCACTGTTAAAGAATTAGGCCTCGTTACACAGGACGTTCTGGCATTCCTGCAGCAGAAACATACAGATTCTTGCAACAGGAATGTCAGGTGTCCCACTTAGATGTGGCTGCTGTACTCACTGAAGTTATCCTCCCTGGTGGTCTGATTATTTCAGGTAATTTTTCTTTCTTTTTTTTTTCCTTTTTTAATTTTTTTAATTTTTAAATTTCCCGCCAGTTCCGCCCCTTGCGACGCAGAAGCTCGCAGGGGATGGAACCCAGAAGACGGATGCCGGCATTATGTATTGGCTGGAGGACACAGCGGGGATCGTGGACAAGGTAAGTAACACGCTGTGTAATCCCGAGTGTGGCACGGGGTTACTGCTTTTGGAAATGAAAATTAACCCCGAGCCACACTCATGATTACCACCAGGGAGGTTAATGACCAGGTGATAGCGGCCATATCTGTA